GTATACCGGTTTGGTAGTCTGTGATTGAAAGCGTAGTAAAGCGAAGAGTCTGCAATAATGACACAGGGCAAAGCAACAAATGTAATAACAATAGGTCAAGTGCACAGTCGTTTTCTCATGCAAAAAAAGTTGTGGGTGAGTACGTAATAAGGGACCTGACCATTGGTCCATGCAGAAGCTTATAGACACACACCCGGGGTTGGGAGGGGAGGGGGCATAACCAGTGGAGGCTAAATGAGGCCTCGGGGGACATGATAAACATAACAAGTAAAATAACAATACCTGATACAGTAGGACAGGACACCAGGTTAATAATCCCTGAAGTCTACTTGATGAATATCGAGGAGCCTAAAATCATGACATAGAGCTAAGTACCATACAAGAGAAATTGCTGAGAGATATTGTGAGTGACGTGAGTGACTGGTCAGACCTTTGGCCAGTAATTGTATGTTGTATCTGGAACCATGGTGATTAATTTGGGAGAATTAAGTGAGAGGCGTGAGTGCTTAGACTACAGGCATAAGTAACCAAAAATATTAAACGTATTGGCCTCGGCATTAGAAGTGAAATTATGTCAAAGCCAGTGCTGTGACCTGCTGGAATAGAACCTTATTTATAAAAAAAATAGGAGTGAGGTGACTTAGTGCTTGTTTTTTTTAACCAATAGAGAAATTAAGTAAAAACATGCAGCAGCATAGAGCCATGTGAATAAGATGATGAATGATTATAATAGTTCTACTGCTTTAACCAAAAAGACTAAGTGAATAGCATGGTGAAAGACCCGTTAGACTGTACGAATGCCCGTGGAGCAGTAAATGGTGAAAGACCAATAAGTCAGTGTTTAGGTCGTTTGTATGAACGAACCGTATAGCAGGATAGTACACAATGCAAGAGGGTTTAACGTGAAACATGCGGGCAGACTGTTCAACTAAACTGAACGAAACGTGAGAATTGTACGAATACATAGTATATGCAGCGGTCAACTAATATACTGCACAAACGGATGAACGTAACAAAAGTATAATACCAGCAGCGGTCGACTGAACAAAAATATGCACGAACAGGTAAATATGCACGAACGGATAATAGAAAGTAAGAAGGGAGCCTATCCCCACGTTTTTAGGCCCGAACGTGGGAAATAACCAAACACTATTTCCCACATGTTGCTTATGTGTACGTACCGGTCTCGTCAGTGGAAGCAAGGTACCTCGTCTGGGGAGAAAAGCCGGGTGAAAGGACCGGAGGTCGGAGGCCTTGGACACTGCTGATGACAGGAACTGTTTGGCGGGAATCTCGGACCAGAAGTGCTGGTTGCTATGGTGAGTCAATCAGCTTGAACGGCAGAGGTGAGTAGGGGCTGAGAGTTTAAGTAGGGGACATAACTCCTCACACAAATTCAGGCCTAATATATATATCATATATAAAAAGAAATAAAATGTTTTTATTTATTTTTTTATACATCATTTCAATGGATTGAATAAAAGTTAAGTCTTATTTCTACTAATATAAGTCCCTGGAGTGGTTTTCTTTTTACAGCTTCTATTTATATGTATATATATATATATATATATATATATATATATATATATATATATATATATATATATATATATATATATATATATATATATATATATAACAAACAAAAATGCTTGGCACTCACCCTTTCTCCAATTCAAAATTTTTTTGATGCCTTGGTGCAGTCCCACGTTGTAAAATATATGCAAAAAGTAAGAGATGCACTCTGAGGACTTGTATAATCAATAATGCAGTATTTATTAAAAAGAAGGTTTACATAATATGATCGACGTTTCGACCCCTCAGGGTCTTCCTCAAGATCAATATGTCTAAGTCTGTGAAATCAATAAATAGTGAATTTAGAAAAGTACTCACCAATAGTGAACTGCCTCCCTCACCCTCTCCGTGCATACCCGGAAGTGAACCCGCGATCACGTGATGTGTCGTGATGCCGACGTAATGACGTGTCAATAGTTGCTAGGATACCAGTGAAACAAATAGTGAACAAGAGCGTATATAGTACCGCTGGATAATAAAATGTATAACAGTGTATCCATGTTGTGGAATGACTCGTGTATTGTACATAGCAATACACAAATAAAGTGACAAGTGCTAATGAATAAGTGCCAGTGCAAAAATAAAAAATGTGATAACACACTGCAAATATACATATGTGATTGCATAAATCCAAGTGCATAATGTGCTACTACCTTCTGTCAATAGGTCCAAAAATACAAGGAAGAAACACACATAGTTATAATTATAATGAACATCACCTAAGGCTAAAGCAGAGTTTCAGTTTAACAAGACGAGCAGGGCAACACAGAGCAAGACCACAACCAAACCTATGTGTGTAATCTTAAAGATATATAAGCATAAATAAGTTAGAGAACAGAAAATAGATCCTCAGATGAAACCATTAATGCTCATTCTCAGAGAGCTATATACTGTTGATCCATACCTCACTAATAATAAACGAAAAAATTTTTTAATATAACTAATAAAAAATTATTAATCATTAGTTAGAGTGATCGCAGACCAAACCACAAAAATATAGTAATGTGTACGGACAAACTCTAATCAATTGTCACAAAAACACAGAAAATGTAATGTTTTCATTCAGCCCCCTCGGGGCAACCGTGTCCAATCGGTGTATCCATTGAGCCTCTCGTTGTAATAACATCCTGGATCTATCTCCACCTCTAGGCATTGGAGGAATGTGATCAATGGCAGTAAACCTTAAAGAAGGTAATCTGTGTCCCATGGTCAAAAAATGTTTAGCTACAGGCTTATCACTCTGTTGATCTCTGAATGCCGTCATAATGGTAGACCGATGTCCTCTTATCCGGTCACGTACTGTTAAGTCAGTCTTCCCCACATATGAGAGACCGCAGGGACAAGTGATCATGTATATGACATGGTCAGTGGTACAGGTAATATATTGTGATATTTTGATTTTTTGACCAGAATGTGGATGTGCAAAAGTCATACCACTGACCATGTGACCACACGTCACACATCCACTGCATTTGAAGCATCCCTTTTTAGAGATGGTTGTGGTTTTGCGGTAACATGCTACTGGATCATTTTTCACCAAAAGATCTTTCAGATTTTTATTCCTTTTGTAACTTAAAACTGGCATCTCCTGGAACGAATCTGGTAATGTTTTATCAGATCTAAGTATTCCCCAATGCTTATGGATGGATTGTCTGATTTTAGGTGTACCAGTATGGAATGTCAGCGGAAGGTAAATTCTGGGTTTAGAGGATTTGCTAGATGTATTTCTCATTGTTAGATCATTTCTCTCCTTATTCCAAATTTCCAATGCTCTCATTTTAGCCAATTTTAATACACGCAATGAATATCCTCGTTCTCTGAATCTTTCCCACATTTCTTCAATCTGAGTGTTGCATCTTTCTGATTCAGTGTTGTACCTAAAAACTCTTAAAAATTGAGATATAGGTAGTGACCGTTTAAACTGTTGAGGATGAAAACTGGAAGCCATGAGCAAGGTATTACGGTCGGTCTTTTTCCGATGAAGCGTGAATTCTAGTTTATCATTTTTCTTATATATTGTCACATCCAAAAATTGGATTGATTCCACGTCATGTTGAACGGTTAATCTAACCGGTGTCGGTAATTGATTGATTTCCGTAATCATATTTTCCAACTGGTCTGGCGTTCCAATCCAAATTAGAAAAAGATCATCCACAAAACGATAATAATGTCTAATATATTGTCCATATCTTTGTAGAATGTGAGTTTGTTCGAACATGTACATATAAGCATTGGCATATGATGGTGCCATAGCCGCCCCATTGCAGTACAGGTTAATTGGAGAAAGAATTGATTTTCAAATTTAAAATAATTACAAGAAAGTGCTATTGAAAGGAATTCCATAAGGAATTCAATGGGTGGTCCCTCATATACAGAAGATTGTATGAGGACGTCTCTGAGTGCTTGTATACCATCATCATGGGGTATTATGGTGTATAGGCTTTGAACATCCATCGTTACCAATAATGCTGTGGTGTCAATAAAGGGATCCTGGACATAAAGTCTTGTGTATCACGTAGACATGTGGATAAAGCCAGTACACTACCTTTGATAAAAAGATCGATGTATTTTGCAATTGGTTCTAATAAGCTGTCATTAGCAGAGACTATAGGTCTCCCTGGTGGTCGTATAGGATCTTTATGGATCTTAGGCAAGGTGTACAGCACAGGGTGTCTAGGATACACTGTTATACATTTTATTATCCAGCGGTACTATACACGCTCTTATTCACTATTTGTTTCACTGGTATCCTAGCAACTATTGACACGTCATTACGTCGGCATCACGACATATCACGTGATCGCGGGTTCAGAGTCCTCAGAGTGCATCTCTTACTTTTTGCATATATTTTACAACGTGGGACTGCACCAAGGCATCAAAAAAATTTTGAATTGGAGAAAGGGTGAGTGCCAAGCATTTTTGTTTGTTACATAGTTTTGGTGAACGTTACACCTACTTGAGCACCCCCTCATTGCTAGTCTACTAACTAGTGAATTGTACTTTTCCTCTAAGACTTCCTCTTTTTGTTTACAATGGAAGATTTTTTGGCTAAAGCAGGAGCATTATTGGAATCTGCTGAAACATTGTCTATATCAGATGCACAAGCGAATGCCATCCTTTGGCCACAAACCTCTCAAGAATTATTACATACTAATACAATACAAGATTTGTATAATGATCTGTTGAAATTGAAAAAACGGGAAATCGATCTTGATCTTCACGGAGTATTTATTTCTGACTACTACCGTGCAAAGAGGATTCCCAGAGGTTTTAGGATCAGGAATGCTCCCACAATAGGAAGGCAAAATCCAGAATTTTGCAAGAAATGGATGCTGATATCCAATAAATGCTCATTGGACTGGATGGTGATCGTTGTTGAAGAAGTGGGTAAAGAGTTAATTTTTGTAAAACAATCAATACAGAATATGGAAACTGCTAACAGTTTAACACTGCATGCATCAACGGCCACTGTCCAAATGTTAAAGTTACAAGATGAAATTAACAAATACAAAAATGACCTTATCCGCTTTAAGAAACAAAAACTGGAAAAGGTGAATAATGATTACAAGTACCATCAGGTATACAGATGGTTGGGGGGAGCACAAGATAATTACAGACCGTATAGCAAGTTGAGGACAAAAATACGAAAACCAATATTCCAGACAATTGATGCCAGCTCAGGAGACTCCACTTCTGACCTTGAAACAAGCGAAGATTTAAAGAGACAGACATCAGATCCTTTTTTAGAAAAGGACAGATACTCAGACGAACCACCAGGGACATCACGCATCAATACTCGAGGCATAAAAAAAGCCGACCTACGCGGCGAGGACAGAGGCACTGTCAAAAATACAAATCTCACTTCAAAACCACCCAGAATGAGGAGATGACCACTGTGTTCAATCTATCGGACAAAATTCTTAATCCAGATCACTATTCCCTATTAAATAAAGGACTTTCATTTGTACCTGTTGCCAAACCGGACTCTTTTTTAACTGAGGTTGAGCTGTATAAAATTCAAAGAACACTATATAGCAATGAATGAAAAAAATTTGGTACATCAAATACAGCCAATCGATTGTACACAAAAAGTAAGAAAGATATCCGCACTGCTAACATCTCCATTAAAACATTTATTCAAATGGTTAAAACTGATACTGAGAAAATAATAAAAAATTCACCGAGACATCATCAGAATTTGACACCGGGAGAAAAGATCGCACTCATGGATCTTAGACAAGACCCAAACATTATAATTCGATCATCGGATAAGGGTGGCGCTACAGTCATTCAGTCATATGATAATTATCGTATTGAAGTATACAGACAACTAAATGACACATTAACATATGCCAGACTTACGTTTGATCCCACAAAGAAATTTCAAATGAGAATACAAAATCACATCGATCTGGGAAAACAAATGGAATATTTGGATTTAAAAACTGCACAATTTTTATTTGTGGAATATCCTAGACACCCTGTGCTGTACACCTTGCCTAAGATCCATAAAGATCCTATACGACCACCAGGGAGACCTATAGTCTCTGCTAATGACAGCTTATTAGAACCAATTGCAAAATACATCGATCTTTTTATCAAAGGTAGTGTACTGGCTTTATCCACATGTCTACGTGATACACAAGACTTTATGTCCAGGATCAACCAGGATCCCTTTATTGACACCACAGCATTATTGGTAACGATGGATGTTCAAAGCCTATACACCATAATACCCCATGACGATGGTATACAAGCACTCAGAGACGTCCTTATACAATCTTCTGTATATGAGGGACCACCCATTGAATTCCTTATGGAATTCCTTTCAATAGCACTTTCTTGTAATTATTTTAAATTTGAAAATCAATTCTTTCTCCAATTAACCTGTACTGCAACGGGGGCGGCTATGGCACCATCATATGCCAATGCTTATATGTACATGTTCGAACAAACTCACATTCTACAAAGATATGGACAATATATTAGACATTATTATCGTTTTGTGGATGATCTTTTTCTTATTTGGATTGGAACGCCAGACCAGTTGGAAAATATGATTACGGAAATCAATCAATTACCGACACCGGTTAGATTAACCGTTCAACATGACGTGGAATCAATCCAATTTTTGGATGTGACAATATATAAGAAAAATGATAAACTAGAATTCACGCTTCATCGGAAAAAGACCGACCGTAATACCTTGCTCATGGCTTCCAGTTTTCATCCTCAACAGTTTAAACGGTCACTACCTATATCTCAATTTTTAAGAGTTTTTAGGTACAACACTGAATCAGAAAGATGCAACACTCAGATTGAAGAAATGTGGGAAAGATTCAGAGAACGAGGATATTCATTGCGTGTATTAAAATTGGCTAAAATGAGAGCATTGGAAATTTGGAATAAGGAGAGAAATGATCTAACAATGAGAAATACATCTAGCAAATCCTCTAAACCCAGAATTTACCTTCCGCTGACATTCCATACTGGTACACCTAAAATCAGACAATCCATCCATAAGCATTGGGGAATACTTCGATCTGATAAAACATTACCAGATTCGTTCCTGGAGATGCCAGTTTTAAGTTACAAAAGGAATAAAAATCTGAAAGATCTTTTGGTGAAAAATGATCCAGTAGCATGTTACCACAAAACCACAACCATCTCTAAAAAGGGATGCTTCAAATGCAGTGGATGTGTGACGTGTGGTCACATGGTCAGTGGTATGACTTTTGCACATCCACATTCTGGTCAAAAAATCAAAATATCACAGTATATTACCTGTACCACTGACCATGTGATATACATGATCACTTGTCCCTGCGGTCTCTCATATGTGGGGAAGACTGACTTAACAGTACGTGACCGGATAAGAGGACATCGGTCTACCATTATGACGGCATTCAGAGATCAACAGAGTGATAAGCCTGTAGCTAAACATTTTTTGACCATGGGACACAGATTACCTTCTTTAAGGTTTACTGCCATTGATCACATTCCTCCAATGCCTAGAGGTGGAGATAGATCCAGGATGTTATTACAACGATAGGCTCAATGGATACACCGATTGGACACGGTTGCCCCGAGGGGGCTGAATGAAAACATTACATTTTCTGTGTTTTTGTGACAATTGATTAGAGTTTGTCCGTACACATTACTATATTTTTGTGGTTTGGTCTGCGATCACTCTAACTAATGATTAATAATTTTTTATTAGTTATATTAAAAATTTTTTTCGTTTATTATTAGTGAGGTATGGATCAACAGTATATAGCTCTCTGAGAATGAGCATTAATGGTTTCATCTGAGGATCTATTTTCTGTTCTCTAACTAGTGATGTCGCGAACCCGAAATTTTCGGTTCGCGAACGGCGAACGCGAACTTCCGCAAATGTTCGCGAACCGGCGAACCGCCATTGACTTCAATGGGCAGGCGAATTTTAAAACACACAGGGACTCTTTCTGGCCACAATAGTGATGGAAAAGTTGTTTCAAGGGGACTAACACCTGGACTGTGGCATGCCGGAGGGGGATCCATGGCAAAACTCCCATGGAAAATTACACAGTTGATACAGAGTCTGGTTTTAATCCATAAAGGGCAGAAATCACCTAACATTCCTAAATCACAATCAATATGGATTGACACCTGACATATGACATATTGACACCTTGACATATGGATTGACACCTGTCCTCAGAGCCCCTGATGCACACGGACACAGAGCAGAATAGAGACTGGTCCCCCTACATAGGGTCACTTGGCAGATATGGATTGACACCTGTCCTAAGGATCCCTGATACACACTGACACAGAGCAGAATAGGGACTGTTCCCCCTACATCGGGTCACTTGGCAGATATTGATTGACACCTGTCCTCAGAGACCATGATACACACTGACACAGAGCAGAATAGGGACTGTTCCCCCTACATCGGGTCACTTGGCAGATATGGATTGACACCTGTCCTCAGAGATCATGATACACACTGACACAGAGCAGAATAGAGACTGTTACCCCTACATAGGGTCACTTTGCAGATATGGATTGACACCTGTCCTAAGGATCCCTGATACCCAATGTCACAGATCAGAATTGGGACTGTTCCTCCTACATAGCGTCACTTGGCAGATATGGATTGACACCTGTCCTAAGGATCCCTGATACCCAATGTCACAGAGCAGAATTGGGACTGTTCCTCCTACATAGGGTCACTTGGCAGATATGGATTGACACCTGTCCTCAGAGACCATGATACACACTGACACAGAGCAGAATAGAGACCGTTCCCCCTACATAGGGTCACTTGGCAGATATGGATTGACACCTGTCCTAAGGATCCCTGATACACACTGACACAGAGCAGAATAGGGAATGTTACCCCAACATAGGGTCACTTGGCAGATATGGATCGACACCTTGTTACAAACTGCTATTTGTAACGGGCCCTTTAAATGGCAAATTGCCCTGTTTCCCTGGGTTGTGGAGAAGCCTCTTTGCCAGCCTCCTCCCGCATGACTATGGCCCCTGGGAGATTGTGAAAATGTATGCACTTTTATTTGGTGTGTATGGCCCTTTAAGACTGTATGTGGGCATATTGGGGTTTATGGACTCTTTATGTGACTTGTGCTGGCCCTTTAAACACCTTTTTTGGGACATCAGGAAGATTGGGACACTGTCCCTTTAAGGCTGTGTCCCCAGACTTGTTGGGGACACTGCCCCTTTAAGACGGTGTCCCCTGTGTCCCCAGACCTGCTGCAAACCCTTTGTGCCTGCCTGGCTAATTCCCACTTGGTTCAGTAAATGGGGCTTACTGAACCAAGTACCACACAGGCAGACCACCCAGAAGTGGAAGTGTGTAGGCAATTTACCTCCCAGAAGCTGCGGTTAACCGCAGCTTAATTGACAATGCTGGGAGGTCTTTGTTCGTTTGCCGAACACGTGGCGGCGGCCATCTTTGATCATTCAACGAGGTCAGCGTATGTGTAGCCAAATTCATGGAACTAAAATCGGCTACACATTTCCGCGAACACCGCTGAGCTCTACCTTCTCCCCTACTGGTTTTACAGCTGCAGAGACTAAGTCCCATTCAGCTGATGGGACTTAGTCGTTTTCAGCCTGGAAATAGACCGACCTCACAGCCCAAATCTATGGAACTGTTTTGGGCAGGAAAATGTGCTTGCCGTCGGTCATAAAGGGACCTCCAGCTAACTTTTTAACCCCTGGATGGATTTGGCTGATTTTTGGTTATGTTTATGTTTTAAGTGTGCTGATTCCAAATATGTAATTATGAAGATGGGATGTGTAGTTTTAAAGTTACAGGTATGGCTAAAAACTGTATTTTTACTGCCTGTGTTTAATTATGTTAATCTCTTCCCAAACGTCATTTCGTTCAAAGTGGAGAGAATGTTAAAAAATATATTTTTGTTCGGAGTGTGAGAAATGCTTTTCAGCCGCTTCTAATCTTAAGCATCATTTGAGGAGCCATACAGGAGAGAAACCTTATTTGTGGTGTGTTTAGTATTGTTCTGATCAGTTTAATACCTTCCGCGTCTCCTATCAGTGGACGTGTATATGGCAGCCATTTTAGGAACCGTACACCTGGGACCCGAGCAAGGTCACCTCGTTCAACAGGCTTGCAGCGTATCCTCCAGGAAGAAGAGCCTGAACCCTTACCGGCTGCACGTGTCTTACCTGTACATGGAAAGCTGCTGTGGTTCCTTGATGAGCCAGCTGCCCGTGAGTTAACATGTCCCGTGGAGAAGCACTCTGTCCTGTAAAGCCTCACCAAAAAAAAGGAGTGGTGTGTTTAGTATTGTTCTGATCAGTTTAATACCTTCCGCGTCTCCTATCAGTGGACGTGTACACGGCATTGATTTTTGTAACAGGGAGATTGAAGAAGAGGCTTGGTCGGTCCTCTTACTGCAAATTTGGGGCACTGCGCGGTCAAGCTAATGTGACACCAGATAGGAGTGGTGTGTTTAGTACTATTTTTATCAGTTTAATACCTTCCGCGTCTCCTATCAGTGGACGTGTACACGGCATTGATTTTTGTAACAGGGAGATGGAAGAAGAGGCTTGGTCGGTCCTCTTACTGCAAATTTGGGGCACTGCGGGGTCAAGCTAATGTGACACCAGATAGGAGTGGTGTGTTTAGTA